CCAAAAAAGTAAAATACTTCTGAGTATGTTGTATATAAATATAAACTCATGTATGAAAATGCGCATGGTGCTGAAGAGAAACCGAGACACACAAGAAAGGAATATTTCCACCAGGATTTTACGTCCTGGTGGGGATTCTAGTCCAGCTCGAAATGTCACACTTGAGTATTCCTTTCTTAGTGTGACTGTGCTACATTTCATCTTTGTACACTTTAAATTCTTTGTAATTTTGATTGTGTATGATGTGGTTTTCCCAAATTTTAGCCATTTCTTTTTTATTTTTGCCTTCAATTTGGGAATGTTTATGTTTACCACCATTGAATGTATTTTGCTATGACATTAAACAGATGCATAATAAAGAAGAAAATTATTGTATTATACATATTCAGTTAAAATGAAAGTAGTCTTTCCCCTCCTGCAGGTGTAAAGATTCTAGATTCTCTTCAAACTTTCCCCCAGTTAGATCCTGTAAAAAAAGAAAAAAAGAAATAGAAAAAAATGAAATTCAAATGATGGATTGTTGGATACTGTTGGACATCTGCCTAAAATAGATGTCAACATTTCAGTTCATTTGATTAATAAACAATCCAAGAAAGGCAATAAGACTCAAATTTCCATTGAACTAGTAAATAATAGCATGTAGTATATGAAATAATGACTCACCGTGAGAGATTATATGGATATAGTTATTCACACACACACACACACACACACACACACACACACACACACACACACACACACACACACACACACACACACACACACACACACACACACACAATGAATGCAAATTAATCTCACCATCTTCATACAGATGATCAGGGGTGGCTTGATTTGGCTGAAGTGAACAATTGGCACTTTGGGCTTAGGTCTTTCCTTGGACTCCTCATATGTATAACACATCCCTATCTTCTTCACATCAACGTCACAAAAGGCCACAACCTTCTTTTGATTTTCTGTCGCGAGGGACCTGTAGAACTTACGACCCTGCTTGCCTGCGTTCCAGATGGTGAAGGACTCCCAGTGGCTTAGGATGCATTTTTCTATTTCTTGGATCCTTAAGTTCCAGATAGTTTGTCTGCAGGAAGTCGTAATTCATAAGTCAGCCTACTTACCGGAACTGAACATCTTATTTACTTCTCAGAACTGAATGTCATATGAACTTCGAAGATATAAAATGGAAGTTTTAATACACATATCTTCTTTTATGAATTATCCATCTTTTGAGCTTGGTGAATGTAAGACAAACTTCAGTAGACATGTCCATCCACTCAGCTTAATAAATATAGAATAAAAGCATTAACAGATTATTTCAACAAACTAAACACTGAGAAACAAATCTCCTGGAATGAATTACTACAACAGAGTTATTTTTTTCCTTCTCTATGAAAATTTATGGTTTCATACTCATCAATAGAGAATGTTGTTGCAGTCGGGTGATATCTATATACAAGGAGGTTATCAGGGTGACGGAGGATCTTGCCGCCCGATTGCAGGTGCTTGAAGAAAAATATGAGGTCTTCTGGTGTTCCCTTTCCAGCTTCACTGAACCCACCAACTCTGCCATGTAGAATTTACAAAATATTGATTTAAAATAATCTAGGACTGACATGAAAATTTCAAGTATAACAAACCAGACACTAGAAGTAAGTTAGTAATGGTGATGATTAGAATATGAGAGAGAGAGAGAGAGAGAGAGAGAGAGAGAGAGAGAGAGAGAGAGAGAGAGAGAGAGAGAGAGAGAGAGAGAGAGAGAAAGAAAGACAGAGAGAGAGAGAGAGAGAGAGAGAGAGAGAGAGAGAGAGAGAGAGAGAGAGAGAGAGAGAGAGAGAGAGAGAGAGAGAGAGAGAGAGAGAGAGAGAGAGAGAGACAGAGAGAGAGAGAGAGAGAGAGAGACAGAGAGAGAGAGAGAGAGAGAGAGAGAGAGATAAAAGAGTACAAAACTATGCTGAAATATCCCCCCCGATCCCATGCTCATTATTCTCGGGGGGGGCTTAGGAGATGGGGACTTGATGCCCAGTGTACAATGTAGAGGATCACCCCTGCCATGGATGTCAGCCCTTGCCTCAACTAAATTTGCAAGGTCTTTTCTTCTCCCTCTTCCTCTTCCTTCTCTTCTTCATCCCTTTCTTTTGTCCACTTGTCCTAATCATTGACTCATTTTTCACTCTCTTTGCCACAATACTGTATCATAATGCTATGTGACCTTTGATGTTTAGCACATTTATTTGATGTAACCATCTTAACAAGTAACATTTGATTCACCCCTAAGCCCCACCCTATTGCTATATTTTGTATACACTACTAATGACCTTAGATGTTGATGCAGCAGAAAATTTTCAATAAATAAATAAACTGATACAGTTGAAATGTGTCCTGATCAGAGAAAATCTCTCTCCTTACCTGTCAAAAACATTACGATGGCAAAACCAAGTTGGCATTATCACAGTAGGACCATGGGAGGTGTAGATTTGTAAAGTCAGTTTGGATTCATCAAGTTCATTTGCCCATTTTGTGTACCGTAGAGTTGAATCTGGAGGGTCACGGGTAAATCTGCTGCCTACAATCTGGTTGAGAAGAGATTTCAGTTTTACTTCAGGTTCAATGAAGTTTAGCTTTATCTGTATATGTATCCATGTATGTCCTTTTTTTTATGTCTTGTATTTTTTTGGCAGGATGATAATAATTTAGAGTTTGGTATAAGAGGCTGTTGCAATTTTAGTCAAATTATGGCTGTCCGTTTATTGTACTTCTAAACTATCCCCAATGTGCAAGGACAGGCCAGAGTTACCATCCACTGGTAGTACAGTATTTGAATGCAGTGTGTGTGTGTGTGTGTGTGTGTGTGTGTGTGTGTGTGTGTGTGTGTGTGTGTGTGTGTGTGTGTGTGTGTGTGTGTGTGTGTGTGTGTGTATTACTATATTTTTTCTTAATGTCATTCAGTTCACTAATGTTCACAACAGCATGTAGTGTATTCAATACTTACAGCCTCATGATTGTGGAATGCCATTTCATATTGCTTCTGAATTCTTGTTGGTTTCATTATATCATCCTGCAGGCAAAATATGAAAAA